AGACAAGCAACTGGAAGCCTAAGAGAGAGAACTTGACTTAAGTCACTCGGCTGGCGAGAAGTGGAGCCCGGGGCCCAGACTTGTGTTAACTGTCATCAGCCTCTTTTTAAGGAAACTCTCCAACACACCCGACTTGAGGCCCAGGGCTGGTGCTGGAACACCAGCTCTGCATTTTACTCTGAGTTCAAGCATACATGGGCCCCTACTGTCTTGCAGAGCCTGGGGCAGACCGTGTCTTGTGGCCCTTCACTGGCAAGTCTTCTCAGGAGGTACTGGAACAGAACAGGGCTGGCTCTCCCCTTATTTAAGAAGAACATCAATTGCAGAGCCTAAAGGCCACAGAATGAAAATCGCCCATTGCACTGTAAGTACAGCTTCTCCCATGTGCCCTATTTAATATTCAAAGATCAGCGAAAAAAAGTAAAATCCATCATATTCTGGCATCTAGAGATCCCAGCTCAAACTACTGAATAAATGTTTAAATGACTGAACAAAGCCACTCAAAACCTAAACACTGCTGAGGACCTTCCTGCAGAAAAGAGAAACTGGTTTAAAATCAAAGTTGTAAACAGTTCTGTTATCAAGTAATGTCTAGATCACCTGCCATTTAATCATGCCCTGCACCCCCCGCCCCTTTTTTTCCCCTGACTAGGATCAAGATAGCAGATAGGCAAAACTCGTGGAAATCCACCCAGGAGTTGGAGGCTTGCACTGGCCACTAGTCACAGGCTACTACTCTGGGTGTTTTGGTCACGCATTGACTCTGGGTCCTTCTGCCCACGTTGAGCCACCTCTGCTGCACTCTATTCAGGAGCAGGGCCAGAGAAGTGGGAAAGCCACAGCTTGGAGGACATCTGTTCTTGGAGGGCTCTTCTGGGCAAAGCAGGATTTTATTAGCCACGGTTCAGAATAATAAAGACCTGGCTCGCTTTATACATGCTCCTGAAACTCTTGGCATTTGGCTGATGGCAGACACTCCCTCAGGCTGACAGAATTTCCAGCACTTATGGTGACCAGTGTGAGACTGGGGGCCCTAACGAAGGGGAAGTGACGTGGGACCAACAAAGGAATGGTATTAAAGAGAGAGCCGAGAAGACCTGGGGAACTTTACAATTCTGTTTATATATGACATGTCCACACAACAGATAAATCCATAGATGGAAAGGTTGGTGGTTGCCTGGGGACAGAGAAGTTAGAGGGCTTGGTGATGATGATTAAGGAGTGCTGGGTTTCTTTTCGGGGAAAGAAAATGTTCTAAAATAGATTATGTTGACGATTGCTAAACTCTGAACTCCTAAAAGCCATTGAACTGCACAGGGTCAACTGCGAATTGTAGGTATGTGAATTATAGCTCAATAAAGCTGTTAGGAAAAAAGCAGCAGCTTCGGAGATAAAAGGGTCATAGTGGACAATGCCAATTGAAGACATATGGCCTCAAAGACCAGCAAAGCTAGAATTCAAGGTTTGTGGGGAATGCAATTTAAATGCAAGTGTGTTTCTGGGCACCAGAACTACGCTGGTTTAGGCCGCTCTGCTGCCAGGTAGGGAGCCCTGGCTCCTGCAAGGTAGAGTCCACTATGCTACTCCACACTCTGGACATTTAATATGCACTTATTGGAAGCTAGGTAGATGTCATCGAGAGCTTAGTAGGCATCTGGACACAATGATGCTCACCTCGAGTTACTGAAGATGGACTCCGAGAGGCTGATGACTAGGAGGCTTCAGTTCCTTTTCTACCTGTCTTAGTCTGTGCAGGCTGCTATATAATACCTGACTGAGCAGTTTATATACAGCAGACGTTTATTTCTCAGTTCTGGAGGCTGGGAAGTCCAAGATTAGTGTGCAGGCAGATTCAGTCTGGTGGGAGCTTGCTTCCTGGTTCACAGATGACTATCTTGCTATGTCCTCACATGGCAGGAGAGTGGAGGGAACTCTCTGGGGTCTCTTTTATAAGAGCGCTAATCTCATTCATGAAGCTCCACCCTCATGACCTAATCACCTTCCAAAGGCTCTACCTCTAATGGCACCATCTTGGGGAGTAGATGTCAACCTAAAAGTTTTGAGGAAACACAGACATGCCATCCATAGCACTCCCTCACCTGGTCTCTTGATGCTGTTGGCATGGGTCTGGACTACACACCATCTGGGACTTAGGCCTTTGATGGTCCTGCTGCTACTTGGCAAAATCACACAAGAACTCTACAACTAGGAACTTCTTGACCTATGATAACATATGACTTACAATAACTACCAGGAAATTCTTACAGTTAACAAATTTATTCATTCTTTTACTGACAATCCTTTTCATGCTTAAGTATGCATGTGTGCATGCACACACACATGTACATCTGTGATATCTGGTTTCCCATCACATTTCAGAATCCTCTCCTCCTTGCTGAAACTTGGGGCAATAGTTAATGACTCAAGTATAGGTGCTGAAGAACCCTCAGCTCCAAGGACAGATGGTATCCCAGCATGCTCTTCCAGGAACAACTTTGAATACTGGGACTTAGCATCTCTTCTCAAATGCTGTTTTTGAACCTCAGACCTTTAAGTACAGAGTGGCGTACCTTCCTCTTCCCTTCCTCACTGCCACTGCACTCCCACCATGCCACCTGTCTTCCCACCCGGCTATGGGCCCTCCATATCTCATACTCAATTCACTTTGCCATTGGACCCCAGCATGGAGCTGAGGGCTCCCAGCTTCCAATGCTTCCCAGCCGGCAGCCCCAGAAGCATCCTTAGCCATAGCTCTCCCACCGACTGCCTGCCAAAATGTGAACTTGAGGTTTCAGACTTATCTCCCTGCTGGATGCTGTTTAGTTTCACATCATAGATGTCTACTCTGTCTCTTTCCAAAATAATCTGAGGTGGCTTCCAGGTATGTGTGGCTCTCAGCCTGCTCCTCTGCAGGGCATTCAATTTGTCCCAGGCCTTCAGGCTGATGTCCCAACTCCCAGCCTGGGCTCTGGTTACCGCTCCATCACATCTCTCATACCTCCCTCCTTCCTCTCCAGGTTCAACTTGCAGTTTGCTGATGGGCCCAGGTCCCACTCACCTCCCAGCCCTTACCCCATACGCTCGCTGCTCCCTTTCCCAGGACTGGTGCCTTCTCCAACCACAATCTCTTGGCCCAGGAAACTAGTTTCTCCTTCGGCTCATACAGCAACTGTCCAGGAATTTCTCCCTGGGCCAGGTGCACCTTCTGTGTTTCATAGCCTTGGGCAGGCCTCTGGTCAGCCTTGACATTGTGCGTGACTGTCCTTCTCTTTGCTAATCTGTCGTTCTCACTAGATGTTAAGCTCCTTGGTGGCCAGGGCCAATGCCAGGTGTAAAATCAATGTTGAATGAATGAATGGATGAACAAATGAATGAATGATGGAAACTCAAAGACACAGCCACTAGCTCCTGGTAATGGGCTGTAGATTTTTGTGGGGATGGAAGATGACTGGATGGTCGCAGAAAGAAAAATTAAAGGGGATGCCCAGGCATCAGAATCAAGATGTCTACATTTTAAAGGTATCATTTCGCACATGAATATATACTCATTTACAGACACACGTGTATACCCATGCATATACACACCCTCTTCTCACAACGCTCTGGGTCTGGGAGGACCTACATGACCGGCCTCTCTGGCTCCATGCTGTCCCAGCCAGAGTTCTTCTGAAGCTCTTGGAAAAAAAGTTGTCGCTGGAGGCTTCTCAGGCTCTCCAGGGCCTCAGGGGAGAGTGGCTCAGACAACTTTCCCAGGTCCTGCTTTTCTTCTTCTTCCTCCATTTCCGTAAGTCCATCGGGGGGCTGTGGGGAGCTTCTGGAGATATAACCCTGGTCGGACTGCACCGACTGCCGCTGCTCCTCCTCGTAGGGTGAGCATGGGTCTTTGAGGGCCACCACAGGTCTCTTCCATCCCTCCTGGGCCTGGCAGCTGAGACTCTGCTGGAAGAGTGAGAGCATCAAGCCTTCGAGCTGCTCCCTTACGTCCTCTGGGAGGTGGTCGGGTGATGCCACTGGAGTGCTGCAGAGAGGTGAGTCCTCTGAGTCCAAGGGGAGGAAGAGGACACTATTCCGCCCAGGGCCACGGCCCTCGAGCAGTGGGCAGGCCTCACCTCCATCCACGACAGCCAACCGGCTGGCTGGGCTGCTCCCCCCATCATGAGGGACGGGTTCCAAAGCCTGAGTGGGAGGGACTGACTCCACTGGGAGCACAGCGGTTTGGAGGATCGGGGCTGCCAGCTGCTCTTGGGGCTGAAGCTGAGCTTGCAGCCTTGCCACGCCCCCTCCTTCCTCAGCGAGGAGCAGATCTACCACCAGGTGGCCCTCTGGGGCAGGCTCCCGCAACAGGGGCTTCTGCTTCACCATCCCTCTTCCTGGTGACAGCAGTGGCTCTTCCAATATCTCTTCATCCAGGGACTCGAGGTCCTGGTCATCTGCCGAGCAGAGGTTCTCGCGCTCAAACCAATTAGGGCACTGAGTCTGCCACTCCCGGAATCTCTCCACAGCTTCCTTGAGCTGCCAGCCGCTGGGGCTCTGCAAGTAGTTCTCCCCCGTGAGCTCCCCAACGCGGTGCATCCGGCCGGGTTCAAACATCTCCAGGTCCTGGATCCGGAAGTAAACCTCCTCAAATTTGTACATGAGTGGGTACCTGGAAGTGATATTGAAGAGGTCGGGGATATCGCTTTCACTGCTGATGTCACTGAAGTAGCAGACGATGTAGGTGCCAAAGCAGGCTGGCTTCTTGAAGTCTGGGAGGATCATGTTCATGGCTGCTGTGAAAAGGTCCCCAGCGGGTTTCCTGTGGTCACATCGAAGCTGGATGGCAGGCTCCTCCCAGCCGAGGATGGCCTGCCACTTGGCTTGGGTGCCTCGGGAACACAGGATGATGATCTTGGAGTTGCTCTCTACCATTTCCTGCTTCTGGCGTCCCACCCAGGTCATGACGCCCACCTCTGAGATGACCTGCTCCTCCAGCAGGTCAAGGGCCACTTCGGTGCCACAAACAGTGAGCAAGAACTGGGCGAACTTTAGGACCACTTCCACGTAGAGGGGGTGGTCAGCAGAGTAGACGATCCAGACCTTCCTGGGCTTTAGGGGAGGGGGCATCAGGCCAGCAGTGGGCAGGACATCTGGGGGAAACAAGAGAAGCCAAGCCCGTAAGTTCAGGTGTGTGTCTGCGCTGACCTTCATTTCACACCTCAGGCTGAGCGGAGGGACCAGGCAGAGCTTGGCTCCTTAGCCTAAGAAATGTAACTGAGGCCTTGGACAAGCCGAATGTTGCTGTTTCACCTGTTTTGGCTGCTTGGAAAAAAATCACAGTCTGGTATGTTCTGGGAAAAAGAATCTAATCTCTCTGTCTTATATTTCTAGCTGGCCTTTAGCCTATACTTTAATTATTTTAATTAAAAAGAAACAAAGGCACAAAGGCCTGCCTATAGAACAGAGATGTCTATTATAGGGAGGACGTGTTTTCACAAAATATGGTACCTGGTCACTTTTTCCTTGTCCAAGTGATTTAAAAAAACATTACCCTGGCTTTGCCATTTGAGGTGTCCTCTGTGTGGGGATATAGAAGGCGGGCCCTCTAAAAGTGACGTCTCCTGAAGGGAATCAGGAGGTAAACTGCAGTAGGGACACCACCCATGTTCTCAGGAGAACCCTCTATCACGCCCACGAACACAAACACACACCAAACCCAGCCCACCCATGCCATGACATACTGACCTGTGTCTCTAGTGTCATTGCCATATTTTTCATGATGAGACCCTGAAAAGAAACAGAAAACATTGGAGCGGCTCTTTTGGAAGAGAAATAGAAACCAGCTCACAGGGGCGTCTGAGGGGAGGGCGGCCCCACCCGAGAAAGGGCAACTGATAAGGGACGGCAGCCTGAGGCAGCGGTTATTAGATGCTTGTGGGCCTTCGCAGGTGGACCGTGCTGTGTGGAATTGCTCCGATGTGAATCCTGGTTGGCCATGATGAAGTGTGAGATCTGGGAAAGTTATTAACATTTCAGAAACTCAGTTTCTTCCCCCATAAAATGGGTCTGTAGTGGGGGATTAAACGAGACTGAATGTGAAGTGCCCGGCACATCGCACGTACTTGGCTGGAGTCACAAGTATCCTGTGGCACTGACCCAGCCAGAACCTCCAAACTGGGGGTTCCCCTCTGGTCCCTCATTCCAGTTCTGGTCCCCCCTCCCCAGTTTGGCCACCCCCAAGGAGACCCACACTTGAGGAAAAGCCCTTCCCCAGAGGTGTCCTTGCAGGAGGCATAAATCTTACAACACGTCTCCAGAAGCAGCCTCTACTGGGTGTGCTTACATTTCCTCCTGCTATTTCTGAGGTGAAAAAGGGAAACCAACACACTTGAGCAGCTGCTCCCCTTAAGATGCAATGAAGGAAACTCCTCGGTGACACAGCCGGGAGGAAAAGAAGCCATGGGTGGCCAAGGAAGACACTTAGAGCCTTCATTCAAATCCCACCCTTTGGGCTTTTCTCCGGAACTCTCAAAAGTCAGCTAAATGACGAGTGAGGTTTCTTTCCTGTCCCTTCCTTCATCCTGTGGTGGGGGCACTTTAGGAAAGCTCTGAAGGGCAACAGCAAAATGAAACAAGAAGCCTCCCTGACATCTACAGAGAGCTTGAAAGTTTATGAAGCACTCACAGAGACCTTAACTCATTTGACCCTCCCTATAATCCTGATGAGCCTTCTATGTGTGGAAATGGCTCCCTGGATCGCTGAAGGAGCCCAGGGTCCTGGAGGGGCAGGAAAAGCCGCACGCCCCTAACCTGAGGACTCATATTCTCTCCTGCTTAGCGGGAGGGCTACTGTGGAGATGGCAAACTCATAGTTATTAACTCGCTAATGAGCACCTTCCTTGCTGTATCCTTTAATCCTCACAGCCCTGAGAGGAAGGCATTGTGACCCCATTTGCCAGAAAAGACAGTCAAATCTATGGTTTGTTAGCAACTTGCCTGACTGCAAATCAGTAAGGCAGAGCTGGGGTGCACAGCCCTGTGCTCTGGGTCCCCAGAGACTTCTCTACCACATCATGCTGTCCCTTGTCATGCTACTCTCCCTGACCTCAGGGGTACAAGTCTGGGGGCTGCAGGATGGGGTCGCTCAGGTTGTCCCGCCTGCCCGGCTGATCATGTCTGATGCAGGGAAACACCACCCTTGCTCTTTCCAACCTGGTAATTGTCATAAAGTTAATTTTAATATCAATGAATGTAATTGTGGCTAACATATATTACGCAAATATCATGTGCCAGGCTCTATGCTAAGAATTCATAAGCATTATCTTATGTAATCTTTACGATTATTTTATGATGTGGGTCTCATTATAATTTCCATTTTACAAAAGAAGAACCCGAGACTCAGAGAATTGAGTAATTTGCCCAGGTATAAGTGGTGGAGCTGGTATTTGAGCTCAGAGTAGCCTACTGCAGCCTCTGAGTTCTTAACAAGAGACAAAGTCTGTACTAAATTTGAGATTGAAAGGTGCCTTCTGAGCACAGCCTTCCAGAGACTGGAGTGGGATGGGGGACACAGGAAGAGAGAGAGGAGCAGAGGGGAAAACTCCAGGACCCACCCCACAGAGCCTGCCCCTTACCAGATAGCCTCCAGGTCATGCAGAGGATCAGCAGGATGACAGAGCCAACCAGAAGGACAGAGATGATCGTGATGAACCCGTACACCCACAGGGGTATGGAGTCTGTGGTGAGCAGAACAGCATGAGTGATGTGGCCAGGAGGCCTGCTATGCCAGCCCTGAGGTCCCCCAGCCTAGGCTGGCCTCTCCGGCCTGTACCATGACATGCTGGTGATCTCACCCACCCCTGAGTGAGTCTCTTGGTTCAGCTTTGTGTGCCCGGCCTACACAAGGCCCAGTCAAGGACTTCTCATGTGGCCCCTGAAGAATGTCCCCACGGGACTCCTGCAGCCCACTATGGGAAGGAGTGTTGGGCTTACCTGCAATCAAGTCTGCAATGAGAACAAAGAAAAAGAGTATTTTTAATTATTAGCAGTAATCACAAAACCGTCACTGACATCCGCTGAGGGCCTGCTAACGGCCCTGGCCCTGCACAGAGCTCCTTAGATATAGGTTAAACTTGCTGAAACCATCTATGAAACACCTGAGTTGCTGGTCTACTAAACGATGTCTCCCACCTCCACGCAAACCTGGGAGGCCCGGATTTGCGTTCTGGCCAGTGCAACATCTGCTGCTTTCTGCTCAGCTCTGACTGCAGTCACATGTTAGGCTGCAGATGGCTTCTGAACAGGCTCTGCCACTTCCTTGGTATGTGATCTTGGACAAGTTACATAACAGCTCTGTGCCTCAGTTTCTTTATCTCTGAACCTGGGGGAGGGAGTCTTCACTTCTTAGTACTATGATTTACAACTTGTGAGGATTATAAACAATGACATGTTAAAGCACTTCATTCTGTCCAGGGTATGTAACTAACTCTATGACAATAACAATTCCCATTTTTCTGGTCACAGCATTTGCGGATCAGAAAGATTAAGTACTTTGTCCAAGGCTACATGAAAGGCAATCAGGAGTTTGACTCAGGAGAGTGTCTCCCTAAAGCACACACCGCGGGCCTGTATAACTCCAAGTTAAACTCTGCCCCCACCCTTAGGACCAAGTCAGGGTTCAGGTCATGCTGTTGACCTTTATCCACTCTTATCCCGAATATGCCCCAGGACAGGCATTTGCTTCCTATCTGAAGTACCTGGAAGTTTTGGACAGGGGACCATCACGGAATGTCTGTGGCAGTCATTCAGACAGCTGCTGAAGAAGGGCTGGATCTGTGAGAGCAGAGAAGAGCAGGGAAGAAAGGGACCCCGAGATACTGGTGGACATGGAGCCCCCACTGCTGCTTTCCTGCCAGCAGAGTAACAGACCTGGCTGGCTGCTCCAGGATCTCCACGTGGCTGTTAGGCAGACCACCCATCATTGAGAGGGGGTCGAAGGAGCCTTGCCCCGGTGCGGCGGCCGGGAGAGCAGGGCTAGAGAAGGCAGAGACCATCATTGAGAGGGGGTCGAAGGAGCCTTGCCCCGGGTGCGGCGGCCGGGAGAACAGGTGCCTTACCAGGCAGGGAGTCCCAACTGCTGTTGGGTCCTTGGAGAGAGTGCCGGTACACCAGCCACCCTCCTTCCATCCCTTGCCCATCTAGCAGAAATGCCCACCTGTGCATGTTCTCTCACACCTGGTTACATAACACTCACCCACCTGTACTCGATGGTGGCAGCACCACTTAAAGTTCGGTAGGGTGAGCGTGACGTTGGACCGCTGGTGGAAATCCTCTTGTGTGGGCTGAAGAGAGAGGAGAGGATGGGTGAAGCTAGCTGGACAGGAGCTGGCCGCGGTGTTACAGGAAGCTGATGACAACCTTCCCCACCCCTGTCAGTGTGCCCGCAGGAAGGCCACCAGGAGAAGCACCTTTCAGGTTTCTGCCCTAGGAAGACTAGCATACCAGGTGTGTTGTTAACTCATAAACACAGCTAGTGACTGGTATTTCCCTCTTTGCTTTGGCTGCGGGGGATCACCAGGACAAATCTGTGCTTACACCCAGCAGTGTGGCACACATTTTCTGTGCTCATTACACCCGGGCTTCATTTTACCACCTCATCTTTATTTTCCCTCTGTCTTCATTTCCACATTTAAAAAAATCTTCTAATCTTTTTGAAATAAGTGAAGTTAACAAAGCAGAGCAAAAGGAGAACAGGGAGAATGTGGTGGAGGGAAGGACAAAAAGGAAGGGGGTGGTGGGCAGGGCAGGGACCAACTATATTCTATGAACTACAGACTGTAAGAACAAAAGGAAACCTCAACCACAGAATCGACTCTGTATTAACGACATACCAAGAGGAAGGAAAAAAGAGCAAAGCAGCAGCCCTGGATTGGAACTTACTAAGCACAGCACTGAGTGTTGGGCTTCTGGCAACATAGCTGTTAGGATCAGAAGGAGAGGCTGAAGGCCTGGAGAGGTGGCTCTGAGCTCTGTTTGAGGGGCTAAGAGCGGCAGAAAGTTACCATGGGTATATCCATAACGTGCTTGAAACATGTCTGGTTCTCTGTGCGTGGGAAACTCTCCAGCAGGATCTGGTAATGGGCAGATTCATTCCACAGGGTGAAGTTGACCCGTAGCTGGTGGGCTTCCGGAGTGTCCACGGTGATGTTAGGCTGCCACAGGCTGCCTGCCCAGGGTACAGACACAGGCTGGGAGTGAGGAGAGGGCGTGTGTGTGCAACCAGGTAAAGCGCCCCTGGTGAGGCTGCCAGCCGCAGTTACCTGAGCTCACACATGGCGTGGTTATCCTCATCTCGGGGTTCTCGCAGTCTGCAGACCCAGAAAAGAAATGAAACCATTAAGCCTCTGCCTTAGAAAGTTTGCTGTTCCAGACTGCTGACACCAGGGATAACAACCTTTTCTTTTTGGGGAGACTGTTCAAGGATGGCCCCTTCAAAGCAAGCCCCAGGACTGGATCATGGCCACTGGTCACAGGTCCCACAGCATTGGGGTGGACCTGGTTGTGTCACCCTACTCTCTTAGGGAACCCTCTAGATTCAAGTGTATTTCTCCTGAGTTTGCTTTGTGTGACCAAAGAACCTTGGTCCACTCCAGTTCCTTCTCTCCCTACTGCAGCTTCTTTTCCAGGATTGCCTCTGCCTTTCTATAATGAGAGAACTTTGTTCTCTGCTCCTCCGTGGAGTGTGCCATCATCGGTAGTTTGATTCAGCAGGTCTGGGGTGGGTTCTGAGAATCTCTTTTTCTAACAAGTTCCTAGGTAACTTGATGAGGCTGCTGGTGTGGCAACTACCTCAAGGACTACTCCCCCACATATACCTTCTTGATCCCCTTCCCCAATTTCCTTGACTATAACGTTTTTATATTGGTTTAAGAAGCCTTGTGACAGATATGAATTGCCGTAAGTGACAAGGACTAAGGCAGTCTACTTTAGGGACAGGGAAGGGGTCTGGGGAGATTCACTCATTCAACAAGTGCTCATGGAGCTTTCAATATGTGTCGGGTACCGTTTTAGGCACTGGAGATTCAGTGGTGAATAAGATAGAGTCCCTGTTGTCCAGGGATTACATTCTAGTAGAAGAGATGAATAAAAACAAACAGCATAATGTCACAAATATAACAATATAATATCAGGAAGTGATGAGTAAGATGAAGAAAAATAAAGTAGTGGAAGCGGATAGTGTGTGTGTGTGGGGGGGGGCGGGGGGCGGGGATGCTCCAGAGATAAAGAAGGTCATCATCATCTTTAACAAGCATTTCCCGATTACCTACTACAGGAAAGGAAATTTGTGAGGTTCTAGTGATTGCACAAATAGGTATAAGACCCAGACTCTGTCCTCAAGGGGACTGATGTTCCAAATGCAGCTGGCTTCAAACAATGAGAACAGAGAAAGAGAAGGTGCACACACATTGAATGCTGTTTTAAAAGATAAACCTGGCAGTATTCATAGGCAGGATGGCTTAGTAGGGAAGAGGAAATGGTATCATACATAGGACGGTGTTAAGATAAATGCAGGTAGGATGTGGGATAAAAGTGAAGAACAAGGTGATGGAAGTTGGGATGAGGCTGGGAGCAGGGGTTATAACTCTTCCAAGAGTGGCTTGTCTTCCTCATACTTTCTGGGCAGGAAGTGTGCTTCTCTGGACAGAGGGAGAGACTCTGGTTCCCATAAAACTCCTGGGGCTTTGGGCCAATATCCACCATTTGTGCCAACAGAGAACAGGCTCTGCCTTCAGGGAGTAGAGGCTGCAGCCACACACCAGAGAGCTCCCTATCCTTGGCATCTGTTTGTTCTGTGGGTACCACATGCTGACAACGGTAGCCACTGTCCAGCTGAGCAGGGATGCTGATGTCTGGGCCACCTGCTGCTTTCTTTTACAGAGCCACGTGGTGAAGGGAAGGGCTTGGTAGGGCACTCTTACCAGGCACGAGGAAGTTCATGGACTGGTGGTTTGGGTCTCCATCAGGGATGGGCTTGGGCAGGTGGTGAACGGTCACCTCATATTTCTGGCCAGGTTCTACCACAAAGTGACTGAAGGTAAAATGCCACTGTAGAGAAGGGAGGAAGGGGAGGCTGGCACACTTCTCACTCAGCTATACCCAAAGAAGCCCACCCTACTCGGCCCTAAAAGATCAGTCAAAATAAGAAGAAACCACCACTACAACAAGATCCAAAATCAGAGGCTTCTGTATCTTTGCTCTTTTGTTTCCTTTGATCTTTCCTGCCTATTTAGAAAAACCCATATCTGGCCTCATGAGTATAGGGTTGTATGCAAGAGAATCTGGGGGAAGGCACAAAAGTCCTCCTCCCCTATCAGCCCTCTCAAAGTGCAGAATGATGGTGTAAGGGAGCCGAGCCAGAGGACTTGGGGTTACTGGAGAGCTGGCACACAACAGGCAGCTAAAAACTACTTGTTAAATGACTCTTCCTCCTTAAATGGGAAAGCCAGGGATCTCTTGAGAATGTTCTGGAGCACAAAAGTGCAGAGGGTTGTCTGGAGAGAGATCCCCAGCCACCCTGGGCTGGCATGTTCCTTTGTTGCAGAGATGACAGAAAGTGTGGGGAGATATTTTCTGAATGGTGCAGAAGACAGATATGGACTCCAACTCCTATTCTAATTACTCTGCTCATTTACTTTGAGCAGGGTGGAGTCCTTGGCTTCTAAATATCTAGGCACTTGGTCATCACCATCCACCTAGCAGTCAAGTTTGGAGGCCCTAATTAAACACGGGAGAATGGAATCTGCCTTTGCTGCCTGTGTTTGTGGGAGATCTGCAAATGGCCACTTTTTGCAGATTTAAAGTAGCAGTTTTCGAACTGGAGCTTACATCAGAATCACCAGAGGGCTTGTTAAGAGATTGCTGGGCTCATCCCAGAGCTTTTGATTCAGCAGGTCTGGGGTGGGGCCCTAGAATCTGCATTTCTAACAAGTTCCCAGGTGATAGGGACCACACTTTGAGAACCATTGCTTTAAACAAAGTAAATGAGAATGAACAATTTACCATCTGGTTATGAGCAACAAAAGGAGCTGAAATTGCTGCAGAACTCATTTGGTTGTACCCCACCCACTGCAGTTCTCTAGTCTAGGCAAAGCTGCTCCTTTCTGGAGGCAGGGCCCAGATTAATCTCAGGTACAAACACAGATGACAGGAAGCAGGGCTGGGGAAGTCCTCTCCCCATTCAACTTTCTTTATAATGACTAGCTAGAGAAGTTGGAAGGAAATGCAGGGGTAGGCACATCTAAGAAGTTTTCAAAAACATGTTCTGCTCCTCATGATCATCATAGGAGCTGGATTCTTACCCGCTTGTGGTGACTCTGCAGTCTGGAGAGAAACTCAAACTTGACACACAAACGCTCATTGGTGTTCAGCTGGAGGACAGATAACTCTGCACCCTCCAGGTAGAGGATGCTGGCTGAAGGTGAGACAGTGGAGAGGAGACACAGATGCAGATCAATGAGACAAACTGCTGGGTGTGTCACCTCCCTGTTGGTTATGCTTGCTCACTCTTAAAAAAACATCTGTCTGTCTTACCCAACCCTCCATTTCCTGTTCCTCCCAGCTTACTCTTGGAACTAAGTTAGCCTCCTACCCTGTAGACAGTTACGTCCCAGCTGGACAAGGACAAGTGACAATTTATACTGGGCTAGAAGCAAAGGCTATGCAAATTTGTGGCTAGAGCATGGGCAACAAAGCATGGCTGTCTAACTCTGCCATTCCCACCATCCTTGAAGAGGTTGCAATAGCAGTAGGAGCTGGGGACCTACAAAGAGAACCCTCCGATCCCCTCCCCCAGGCCCTGATCACAAACCGGGGCTGGTTCTTATTATCCCTGATCTTCTCAATTCTGTAGTATAACCCCCTACCTCTAAAAGATTTGGAAGATGTTGTTTTAAGAAACGACAGCCCCAAATTAAGGGAAAAAGCAAGCTGGCAACTGTGTTACCGTCTTTCCAGTAAATATTCGATACTGCAGTCACAGAATTAACCATTTGACATTTTTTTCCCCTTGGGTGATAAAAGTTTTTAGGCTGAAAGAAGGCTTTTCACGAAAGATGGTAGAATGAGAACATATCATGGGCTAACATCTAAAACACTGAAGAAGTATTCACTGCATGAAATGGTGGATCCTCTCAGCACTGAATTTGGGCCCTCATGTCTGAGCACAGCTCTGGGAACCCAGTTCTGAATCTGATGGGAGAGCCAGAGGCTCTAGTTTATGGGTTCACTTGGAGGTGGGTAGAATCCCACAGGGCCCAATGACATGCCCACTCACCATCTGTCTGCAGTGTCCATTTGATTTGAACCACAGGGACGTGGTCTCCATGCTGGGTGTGGGCAAAGTGCAGCCGCACCTGGACATCTTTTGGGGATGAAGGAGTCAGGTTTCGAGGGTGGATCCAGCTGTCATCCAAGCAGTTACCTGGTAGCCAGGATAGAAGCAAAAATCAGAGATTTTCATGTTCTGTAAGAAACTGAAGAAACTGCAAGAAACTAAAGCATGCAAGCAAGATGCCCGGCAGTGAGTCCAGAGAGCTGGATCTTAAACAGTCAGAGGCCTGTGATCTTAGGCAGAATTCTCCCCTTCCCTGTCCTACCCCATCTTTTCTCATGCTTGTCTGGGGTCACTGCAAAGCTCTGAAGTCTAAAAGCCATTTCAGGAGAGAAGACAAAGCACACAACTTGGTTTTGAGATGAAGCAATGGTTGGAAATGGGGGCAGAGGAAGGATGGGGTAGAATTGCTTTACTTTTATACGTCAGAGTCCCCAGTTAGCACAGAAACTTGAAATATGTGCCTCCTTCTTGAATTAAAACACAAAATGAAATCAACGCCACAGATATCTCTCACTTTACAGAGACAAGCTCTGGCAAATCAAGTTGGATTACAGACCCACTGGGGAAGCACCCAAGAGGATACTCTTAAAATTCAAAGGACAGTTCTGCTTCGACTTCCTGACCTTTGCACAATGAACAGTCTTGATAGGAAGCACAGGTGTGCACACGCAAGGCTTTCAAGGACAACTCCTGCTTCCTGACCTTTGCACAATGAACAGTCTTGATAGGAAGCACAGGTGTGCACACGCAAGGCTTTCAAGGACAACTCCTGCTGAAGGTTGTAGCCCTCGCCTTAAACCAGGAGAAGAATGGCAGCTCTTCTCTCAGGGATCAGCACGAGGTTGGCACTTTATTAACAAAGCGACAAGAACAAAAAAATGACTTACTATTCTTGACTATGCAGTTTAGTCCCTGTAGGAAAAAAGAAGGAAGTAATTACAGCTGTGAAAGAAGTTTAATTCACAAGCCAGGTTCTGGACTTTCCTTTGGCTTGTTCTCAAGAATGAAACACACACAGCTATCCCTTCTCACTTTTGGGGGCCAGTCTCGGGGAGGGGAGCCATATCCTCCCCACACTTTTCTCATCCTGCCCAACTGAGGAGAAATAGGTTAAAAAGTGGGTATAACGGATGGCAAAACGGAACTAGTGTTTTCTGAGTAACCATTATGAGTGGGGAACCTTCTGACTTTAAAAGACACTGACAGGCTTCTGCTAGGGTGCGCTGGTGAAAAGTCCTCTAAATCTTTTGAGGCTTCCAATCTTCGGTCTGAAAACAGTGCTGCCAGAGGTGGGAATAAAAGCTCCACTCCCTGTTACAGAAATGTCACTAAGTCCCTACAAACTCCTTGGGGTAGATGTGCCAGACGCTGTTCTGGGTGATTTACACATATTGTCTCAAGAATCCTCATAATACACTTAGGATTAAATGTCCTTACCTTCATTTCATAGATGAGGAAACTGAACCACAAATGTTATATTAAATTGCCTCCCACTTTAGCAATATGTGTTAACTCTAACCCAGAGGAGATCTGGAGGGCCGAATTTAGAAGACCCAGTTACAAACATTTTTAGGGAAATGTAATCACTGGGCTTAAGTCTGGCCAGCTGCTCCTACTTTGGAAAACATGCACACACTCCTGGAATCAAGTTGCCTCAAGACACCTAACACTGCCAAGCCTTGATTTCTTCAATTACAAAATCAGAATAAACACAATATCAACTTTACAGTGTTGTTTAGGATTAAATGATATAAACAGAAATAAAGATGTTGGGACAGGGTGTGGGCTCATAGTGATGGTGGTGTGTGTGTGTGTTACAGACTTCTAATAAGTCTATCACAAAAATTTCAAACAATGGGAATGTATTCATGTACTAGTTATACAATTAAGTGAAAGAAATAATAAATGCTCCCACTGTTAAACAGGAAGCTTACTAGAAGCCCTACGAGAATTATTATGAGGAATTTTGTTGCCTGCTAAATGAGACAATATTTGCCCAGTGTCTGGCACATAACGGCTGCTTTTTAATTATTGGCTCCTTTTCTTTAGAGCCTGGCGTATAACAAGTGCTCAATAAATGGAAGCTATTATTATACAGGACGACCTCCACACAGACATGGCAGTGGAGCAAGGGTGAACTTAGGCTCAGGTGTTTCCAGTTATCTTAACCCATAAAGCAAACCAAACTCATATGTGGGCGGGCAGAAGTCTGATGTTGAAGCAGACCAGAAATGTGACTTTAAGGGCAACAGAGAGGTTTGGTATATGCGTGTATACAGGGCTCTGGGGAAGAGGGAGGCAGGGCTAAAGAATGGGAGGAAGACCAGTTTGCTCAGAAAGCAGATGAAGGGATATCTTCCTCAAGCATACTCCTGAAGTGATTCTAAGCTTGTCATTTCATCCATAGCCTACCCTTCTGGGACACCAGCTCATAAGCCCTTAGGGTCCAGACTTTCTGTATCCTGTTCAGGTCCTTAGGATTAATTCTCACCTACTGGTCCCAGGGCCATCACAGCCCTGAGAGACATTCCTCACATGTTCAGCAAGTTGCCTCTGCTCTCTAACAAGTGTCACTCTGTTTCTTGAATGGTGAGATTAACTTCCTTGAATGTTTTATTTCTCCTCCCACTTGAGACTCTTAGAACTGGGGCATAGAGGACAAGAATCTGGTTCTTTCACCTTGAGATGGCGAACTCTTCTAGAAAAGGCAAACAGATACCCACTTTGATGACTCCCTACCATCCACTGGTAGCTACTAAAACCCACTGCAAGATGGATGCACATAATGAAAGGCTCTAGTCTTCATGTAGACTGAGGAAGTGGAAGGGTTTGAAAACGCATTCGGTTAGCTGATTAACAACGATGCCAGTGGGTCTCCTCCAATCCTGTGATTGATAGAAATAGCTTGGTATTTAGTATTGTTTTTTGTCTTGGTTTCTGATAGTCATTGTTGTACATAAATATTCTCCTTTTACTATTTTGCTTGAAGTTTTTATTATTAAAAACAGTTCCTGAACCTTACCAAATACCTCTCCAGCATTTATTAACATAACTTTGTAGATTTTCTCCTTTATTAATGTAATGAATTATGCTGATTTGCTGATAATGGGCCAACTTTGCACTCCTGAAATAAATCCTACTTGATTATGGTGCATTATTCTTTTGCTAATCTACTGAATTTGCTAATTTTTATGCAGACTTGTTTGCATTTATATTCATAACTGAGATTGGTGTGTAGTTTTCTTTTTTTGTACACGACTTATCTAGTTTTCGAATTAAGCTTTGCTAGCTTTGAAAAATAGCTTTCTCTTTTTCTGTGGTATTGAATGCCCATTAATAGGGCATGGCTGAATAAAATGAGATCTAATTTAAATTTCAGTGTCCACCAAAACCAAAATGGTTGAAAGGACTGCTATCTACTATGGAATATTATGCAAATATTAAAGAGAATTAGTTACGTAGATATCTATTGACCTGGAGTAATGGCCGAAATGTGTTAATGAACGAGAGAAACAAGCTGCAAAGAACTTTTTATCATATGATTCAATTTTCTATGGAAATAAGTGATGAAAAAAACCTTCCCTGTATATTTATATATGCTTGAATTACATATCTATATATGTAATTGTATGAGCATATAAAAACACATGGAAAGATATATATCAGAATGTTAACACACTGGTTACTGGGGGTGAAGGGATGGAAGAGATGGAGAGAGGGAAGATAAGGGGGAAAGGATATAAACGAAACAGAAAAATATGCATACAAGTGAAATAAAGAAAAAAAATTCCATTAGAAGTCATGGAATGTTGACCACATATGCATATTATCTTCTCCCCCTTCCCTAACCACATGAAAGTTATAGGAAAGAGAAAATTTTTATATCTACTCAAAGATAAAGAAGAAACATCAGTAGACAATATGAACAAATTTTTTAAAGATGAAGTAGAAGGAAGAGTGGGCAACTGGCTCAGCCTGAGGAGAGGAACTTCAATTTGAGCACTGAGAAAGGAGATGCTGACAAGAAAGGGGCTATAGGCTCATTAGCACCCTTTCATGAATCAGGTCTTAAAGACAGTAGGCCCTTGGGAAGTAGTAAAGCAAAGGGGTACAGGGGTGGGGACATGGGAAAGTCTACAGATGGGATTTGGGGAACCTTAGCCTCTGTGTCCCTGCTCTGATCTCAGAATGCTGGCAGCCAAGCCTAGAGAAAAGATCTGTCCAGATTTGGACATCTGAGAGTCAACTAATAGGCCATGTTCACCACAAGCCTAATCTCTATGTTAACACAATGATTGATAAGCTGTATCTACACGAAGAATTCAATCAGCTCTTTAGATCTCATTCATAAAATATTCTCAGACAGCCAGATATTTGAGAGAGGTTTTCTGTATAAAAAATAGATCAAAAACAAATAAAAAAAATGTTCTTGGAGGAAATAAAACAATGCTGCAAAAGAATAAAACTAAAACAAACAAAATTATAATAGTTTCAAAGAGATGAGAGGACACTCTGACAAGGACAGGATACTGAGGAAAAAATGAGCAAGCAGAGACTAAAAATGGACCTTGAAAATAAAAATTTCATTGAAGGGCTGGATTATAAAACTCAGGAAATTTCTCTGAATGTAGAACAAATACAAACAAAAATAGGAGAGAAAAAATGTGAGAATATTAGAGAATTCAGGAAGTACAAGGTATGATTAACTGAATTTCTGAAGAAGATTACAGAGAAAACAGAGGGGAAGAAATTATTTTAAAAGATTCTAGAACTAAAGGATACATATTTCCAAATTTAAAGTTCCACTGAATAGCCAACAAATGAAAAAAAGACCCATACCAAGGCCTAACATCATGAAACTTTTGGAATACCAGGAATAAAAAGAAGATCCTGTTTCCAGATAGAAAAAAAAAAAAAAATAGGTCCCATACAAATAGATAAGAATCAGAATAGTGATGGCACTCGTACTATTTGCTAGAAGGCAACAAAGCAAATAATTTCAAAATTCTGAGAAATTACCTTTAACCTAAGATTTTTATACCTAGCCAAATCCAAATCCTTAAAAAAGTGTGAGGGTAAAATAAAGGCATTTTTTTCAGACATATAATGACTTGAAAAAGAGATCTCATACACACACACACACATTCCCTCATACCTTCATACCTTTTCCTAGGACACTGCAGGACGATATGCTCCAGCAAAATGAGGGAGTGAACCTCTGAGAAGGAAGGCACAGGATCCAGGACATGGGAGTTGTAAACAAGACAGTATATCTAATATGACAGTTGTGCCACAGGCTAGAGAGTAATCAGTCCAGATTGGAGCTGAGAACAAAGGGCTCCAAGAGAGAGTTCTCTAGGGGAAGGGGGGATGAAATTGATGGAATATCCGATATTGGGAGGGGGGGAACAATGAATCTGACAGAAAAAAACTAAAACTAGTTACATGGAAAATTATGGAAGTAAAGAATTAAAGCAATTATCATCTTCAAGGGGAAAAGAAATTATACCAAAAAAGAAATATAATCAAAAGTACACATACTTGCCTCATCAGTTAAAATTATTTGCTTGTTATCATATAAACATTGACTATTGATTTAACTAAAAGTTGTTATATAACTGCAATGGGAAGACTGGGAGGAGAAGCAGTGGGAGAAGGGTAATATAAGACATTTAGACTTTCATCTATTATAAGTCAATAGATAATATCTAAAACTGACAAATCAAGAATAACAGTATATTTAGAAAGCCGGAGACAAATGCCAGAATAACTGAAAGAAATATAAGTGATTATCTTTGGGGAACAAGTTTAGAGAGTGGTGAGGGGTGGGACAGGGACCCACTCTTTTTTGTTTTAAATATCTTAGTACTATTTTTAAAGGATTACCATATATTACCTTGATATAAATTAATAAAAGGTAGAATTTTATCTATAATGTTACTCCAAACAAATGAAAGGACTGAAAAGTGAGATAAACAAATGAAAATATTAATTTGTTTAGGGGAAGGAATAGTCGACTTTTTTCCTTTATAATTTAATTTTTATATAGAATTTATGTTAACGTAATGTTTTTAATAACGTAAAATATGCAGTCAGGGTTTTTGGACACTACTAAGACAGATCTTGTTTTATTCCTCTCCAACCAATCATCCCTAATTTCTCTACTTCAAATGTTCATTTTTTAAAAATAGTAGGATCAGAATATTTGAGCTACCTACTTGTGAATGGCATTATGTTAGGCTCCCTACAGAAATCCAAGAGGGAGAATGTTTGCAATAATGAAGATGACAATGGCAGCAGCTAATATTTATCGAACTCTTCTTTTGTGCCAGGAATCATGCCAAGCATTTTATACACATATCCCACTTAATCTTTATAACAGTCCTCTGAGTAAGTATGATTATCTCATTTTACTTATGAGAAAACTGAGGCACAGGCAGGTCAGCTAAGTTGCCCAAGGTCCCATAGAGCCTACACTCAGGCCCATGCAGCTTTGTTTCAGAACCCATCCATGCTTCTACTCACTGCTGTACTGCCTCTCTAAATTAAAAAGAAAAAAAAAGAGAATACTTACAACAGGTGGGCCAATATTCTTTATCCATAGTGGTGAAAATTAAAAGGAAGAAATAAAAGACTGTATTTACTCTGTGCATTCAATGGCCACTACCAAGTGCTAGGTAAAGAGAAGTAAGTTCTGAAGTCCAAGGCAGAGCCCTGCTTTGATTCTCAGCTCAGCACTCACTTGTGGTATGACATTGGGCCAGTCACCTAGACTCTCTAACACAGGTGGATCATGGCAGCCTGGCAGGTTGCTGTGAGCACTGAATGAAATTATACATACTAACCCTTGGCACGATGTCTGCACAAAGCTGTCAGTAAATGTTAGTGCCCTTGCACTTTCCAATGTCACAGCCCACGTGGTCTGGCACTTTCACACATCTAGAATTTTATTTGCTCTCCCCATAATCCTGTTAGGTGAGGATCATCTCTTTTTATAAACAAAGACACTGGCTCAAAGCAGTAGAGTGACTGACCAGGGCTGCAGAGTGGGTGCCAGGAGAACCCCGGTCTTCTTACTCAGCCAGTGTCCTCTCTCCTGCACCGCATCACTCTGGTTTCTATTTGATGCTACAGTCTCTAGATGGAAGGCTAGCCTGCCAGGAGCAATAAGAAGTCAGGTATGATGGCTAAGGAACCTGTTAACTTTGCTGGTCCCATAGCCTCAATGACCTCAGCCCTGATTGCCCAAATGCCTGTATATACCATCCAAGACTGCACGGAATACAACTTTTTACACTCTGGAAGAATGGCTTGGCTGAAAACAGCTTCTGGCAACCAAAAGATAAGGGTTAAAGGAAACACTTGTTTTACCATAAGTCAAAACCACGAGTGCTCAGGGCAAAAACAAAAAAAAAAAAGAATTTCTAATGTCATATACATCCTGTCTGAAAAATTGTGTTAACACTCACACTGACCAACTCTCGGTCACTGTCTTTCTTTGTGGGCCTTCCTCTGGGTTGGCAGTCAAGGGAAATCTTATTAAAGCCCAGGCAAGGGAGGCCAACATAAAGACTGTCCAGGGAACTGCAATTACTTATGGTTTCTCCAGTATTGATTCCTGTGGGGAACTCAAAGTCATCCAGGTTTTGAAGTATTAAACCCAGGCAGCCAGAAAGAGGGCTATGCCTGCTTTCAGTTTATTATTGCCTTTCAAGCAGAGCTAACCATTCATTCATCATTCACTTATTTCTGTGTTCTTTTATTCCACAAATATTTATCAAGCCTCTACATTTTGTGTTTGTAGCATTGGACTAGTAACAGAATAGGCACGCAGAAAGCTCTTCTCTGTCTTACGAGAGGTACTGAGAGCTAAATCTAACTGGACTTTGGACAGACAGTTATAGTCTGGAAAGTGGTATGGGACTTTGGACAGACAGTTATAGTCTGGAAAGTGGTATGGGCCCACTTTAAGATGGCTCACCAGCCCTCTGAGGAAACCCAGGCACAGGAAGCCTAAAATGCCCAAGATTGCAGAGACGGTAAGTGGTGAGATCAGGATACAAACCCAGGTCTTCTGAAGTCAAGTTTGTGGTTTTCCCTCTTCTCACTCACTATATGGGGTTGCATCCACTAAAACATCAGTGGAGGGAGAGAAATCTGAAGGGTGTGGTTTCTTTTTAAAGAGACTAGTTAATGAAGCAGGGAAGCTGTTTGTCATGGAGATGAGTTGTCTGTGAGTAAGGTTTTAAGCAGAAGCAGTGGGAAGAAGAGCGAGCTTGGAGATCGCAGATAAATCTGGCCAATAAGCATCTCTCCTCAGCCCTCTCTGGAATCATGCTGTGGCCCTGCTCCAGACTTCCAGAAGTTTCCCACTGAGCAATTAAAGTCAAATGCTTTTAGCCCAGCACTCACTCCTTTCCACAGGGGAATCGCTACCTCCCCCTTTAGCTTCTTCTCTCACTTTCCGGCCACACACCTTATCCTGCCCACTCAAGGGTTGTGGCTCAGCGCCTCTCTTCGCCAGGTAGAATGCTCAACAACTCTGTCTTTGAAGCTTCTACCACCCATCAGGGCTGCCTAAATGTCTTCTCTGCCACTAAGAACACCCCAGCTGGAAGTAATTTTTTCCCCGTGTAATTCTGCATATTCACTGATTGTACAAAGTGCACTTCTTTCAGGTAAACCTTGCACCACGGTTACCACCTTCAAGCCTTTTCCTTCATGGAGGATTTAAGTCCCTTAGACATTAGGGTTTCTTTATAATTTCAGTTCCCAGCAACAGTACCTTGTATTTTGCAAGCACCTGGCAAGTGGCAATCAAAATGTGAACTCGCAATCCTGCACAGTAGAACAGTTCTATACCAAGTCTGCGGGAAGGATCTGCTGAGCATATGTCCCCTCCTTTGCCCAATAGTGGGAATCAGAAGGACATTTCTCAACTCATTAGCATTAATTTTTTTCCTCTGCTAAGTAGGCATTCCCCCTCTACCCTCTTTTGGTAAATTCTCTACAAAATTAGATAAGGAGAAATATCTCTAGGGTTGTTTCACATCCTCTGATTCAGAAACTGAGCATTATTGCTCAGGATAAGTAGTGACGGTGGCAGGAAGGCTGCTGAGGAAACTAGAGATAAAGTGGAAGAGGGGAGTGCTTAGAGGAGAGAAGTTGTGGAGGCGGGCACAGTAATTTGCTGTTTCTTTTTTTCCCCTTTAAGATGGTCTTCCACAACAGGGCCACTACCCGGAGGGTGGGTGTGTCACTTCCTGTGCGCACAGCGCGGGTATTGACAGATGGCAAACCCGCCGAGTAGTGGAAGTAGTGGTGGTGGAGGGCGCTGGCACCGAGTTGGCCCGAGTCCTCTAGCTGCCACCAGCCACCCTCCGCACAACTGCCCCTGGAAGGTTACAGGCCACGTCTCACCGGAGGCTCCGCCCCTGGGCCCCGCAGGCCACCCCGGCTCGTACGCACCGTTCTACGGCCGCAGGGTTCTCCCTTCCCCTGGGGACTGGGCTGAGACCCGCTGGGGACACCACCCTTTAATCTCGCTGCTGCAGGCTTGTCGGGCTC